TATGTATTAGTTTGTTCTTTGATTTGGGTTTTTCATGGTTAAGTCCTTGACTGCTGTGAAAATGGGTAATTTGTTTACCCATATATTTCGAGGTGAGGAAGGAAATGCATGAAAAAGGAAGGGGAGGGGGGATAAATATTAGGCAGGGACAGGAGTGCATTGAGGCATTTTTCAACTGGTCAAAGAAATATTAAAGTTTTGTTTTTTCAAAATGCTTTATGCATAGTCTATCAGGCATTATTCACTAGTATGGGAACTGTCCAAAATTTAAAGTGAATAAAAAAAGTGAATTCCAAATTTCAGACCTAAGTATCTGAAAAGTAAAGATCTTTTTGTTTTGTTTTTTGTATTTAGCTATAGTGCCTACAAATGGAAATTTGATTTCACTTTGAATTTTAAATAGTTGTGAGTTTGGTGAATAACCTTTTTTGTGTCATTTCCAACAGTGATTTTTCACCATTAAATCAGTTACATTACTATTAATAGGAAAAAGACATGTCCTTTATATCAGGTTTCTAACGTAAGCCTGGTGTTGTAGTATATGTTAGTTTTATTACGCAAATTATGCAGTGCAGTTATTGAGGTAAACTAGATATAGTGTAGTTTCACATTATTGAGTAATTTTGATTTTAACAAAGCCCAGTGATATATTTTATTTCAAAAACATTATTACATGTTTACCTACATGACATTTTAGTCAAGAAAAATACTAAATAGTGTTAGAGGAGATAGTGGAAACAGGTTTTGTAGGGAGTAAAAGGAAAGGGGAGTCACTTTGTAAAGGATTGGAGACTGGAGCAATGGTTCTTCATCTATATGATTGGACACAGAATCAGACACCCATGCAGTTTTAGTGGATTATCATGTACTGGATGGATTCCAACCATTCTACTAATATATATGTATTTCATCAAACCTCATGTAACTTCCCCAAACAAACTTTTGTCATTGCAGCCCTGGAAAGGGTTTTGACTATTTGGCTATTGCATGTTGGTTTGGTTAGCAATGCATGTGCTAACAATGCTGCAATGTAATGGGTGTAGGGATGTCAGGAGCACTTACCCCTTCCTTTAAGGTTTGCAGAGAAGGGTAAACAGCTTGGAACATCTTTCGTCCTTGCTTGCTCTGCCTGACGGAGAGTGAAACCCATCAAAATCTTCTTTTTCAGATTTCAGCACTTGTTGATCCTGTAGGGAAGAAGAGTGAAAATGTCATTATAGTGGAAGACGTAGTGACTGCAGATGCTCCAGTAGTTCCAGTTGGCAAATGGAGAGGATTCCTTGATGGATTCTTGGAGAGGCTGGAAGTGGGTTTGGAAGGAAGCACAGAGAGTGTGCTCCCAATTGTAGTTCTGCCCCCATCGCTTTTGTTGCTCCTGCTGTTGCCTCTCCTTTGCTCATGTGTGAGCTGTCCCCTTTAAGTATAGAATAAAATTATCAGGGGTAATACATGGATTTGCTGTCCCTGGTTCCCCTTGATAGGGAGAGAGTTGACCAGCCTTGGAGGGTGGAGAGTCAGGATGCGGAGACGGCGAAGCATTTTTCACACATTTTTGGCAACTGGTTACAAGGTTTCTGCATTTTGCTAGCATTGTGCCAGGCAGTTTTTCAGATAGGGCCCCTTCATTGTTTGGTTATTTGGATCTTATCTGGGTTGGTTAAAGGCATATGGGGGGCAGTGCTGGTTCCGTTATGATCAGCAATTCAGGCAAAATTTAGCAGTCAGAACGAACATATAGAGTGCATTATGGTTGTTTTTACAGGGCTTTGATATTGGTGAGAGTCACAAGGCACTTTTAGCAAAGTCCAACAAAGAACTTTGAAGTCCAACAAGCTGGCTTTTTTGGAGTTATTTCCCACTATAGTGGCTGTGGAGTTGCGAAAGGATAGGTTGCATACTAGAAGGGTTATTATTTAGACCCTCGATATGGCGGTGGTGCATGTGATTAATCGCTCGACGTCCAGTTCCCCTCCTGTGTTGGCCCTGCTCAGTTGTCTAGTATTGAGGTGTCTTGCACTTAACATTTGGATTAAAGTGGTTCAAGTTTCTGGGGTTGCTGATGTTATTGCCATTTCTCTCACATTTACAGCTACAGCGTTTCAAGGAGTTGGTATCAGCGACAGAGAAGGTCGTTGGAGTCTGTACAGTTTTCTTAGACCTTAGGTTTGCAGGATTGAGGAAGTTGATTGACAGCTCGTCATCCTAGAGGTCATACAGCTCAGTCTGTCCTAGACAACACTTTGAATGGATCAGGCTTGTGCAGGCTGGTTGAACTCAAGAAAATTTCGGCTTTTATCTGATAACTGATGGCCAGTTACCCTGTCAGCTGACAGATCATTAATTGTAAGCTGGCATTTTTAGTTCAATAAATCTCTGGCCATTGCCCTATCCCACTTTAAATTGTGTATTTCCCTTATTTAGGGCAATTTTTTTTTTGGTGATCTGGAGTTGGGTATGTATACGTGTAAATACATTTTGTCACAAAATCAGCAGTCATGTACTTAAATTTAAGGTAAGAAAATCAGGCACAACAGACTGTGCTAAAATAATAGAAAAACAGGTCTTGTTCAGAAGCAAAAGAAAATGCAGGAATCAGTACAGTCAATGGAAAACATTTGATTTGAGTTGATATTAAATATTAATTTTTGTCTGTTATACACATGCTAAATGCCAGAAATAAAATAAACATAAATATGGAAACAACTTGAATTGCTTCTACTAAAATATTAAAACGCATTAACTAATTTATGCAAATTGCGTAGGTTACGCAAATATGTGGCTTGAATTTCCTTTAATATTGTATTTCATTGTCTAAAGAAATAGCATATTCCATAGAAGATTACATTAAATTAGTTTTACCAACTGGACTTTACAGAAAGCATAAAATGACTTTTATCAACATCTTAAAGCATTGTATTTTATGGCTGGAATTTAAACACAGAAACACATGCCCAGAATCAGTAAAGGCAAAGCTCAGTAATGTATTATTATTATTATTATAATTATTATTTTATTATTTATATAGCGCCAGCAAATTATAACAGCAGATTATGTTTTAGAACACAATACTGCACACATGATAATGCCACCATCACAATGAATTAGGAATAATGCACTAATTACCCTAATAGCGTTTAGGGGATTTAATCTTGGGCAAAACTAGGACAAATATGCCCTGATCTTAATGAGATTAGTGGGCGTTGGATTCCCATTAATTTTGTGGAATGCTGTAATGTGCATCACAGTAAACACTTACCCTTAACTCACACACTACACTAACACTAGCCATTAGCTCCTACACTATGATATCACCAACCCTTAGAGCTTACACTCCCTTAAAAACTAACACTAATACTTAAAGCGGAACTGTCACCATCTGGGGAGGTTGCTGAATTCCCACAGACCGCCAACAGTGACCTTGCGACTGGGGGTCTGGTGGGTGGGGAGGGGCAGATAGAGGTGAGATTTATTTACCTTAACCTGTCACTCACAGACGCGGCCATCTTGCTCAGCTTTTGGCGCTTCAGCACCAGGAGCCCTCACTACTGTACTCTTGTACATGCGCAAGAATACAGCATTGAGCTCTATGGAGGATCCCGCGCGACCTCCATGGAGAATTTTTACAACTCACCTATTTTGACCTTCTATTCGAAATTCACTCTGAATTCACTAAGAATTCTCATTTTAGTGACTAATCCTGCGTGTAATGTTTTCTATGATCCATGAGTCTAAAATTAGCATATAAAAGAGTATACATACATATATATATATCCATATCCAAAAATTATATATATATATATATATTCAAACAAAGTAAAGACAGGAGCACTCTCTCGGTTTTCCAATATATATTCAATTAATTCACAATCAACGTTTCGACCCTCCTGGGTCTTTATCACGATATTTTGCTGCACCGGGTATACTTTGTTTTATTACTTTTGTTGGGGTCGTATGCCAGAACCTGGATGTTTATATATATATATATATATATATATATATATATATATATATATACACACATTTATTCATGCCCACCCTGTTATAGAAAATCTTCATACCTATATTTTCTCCTATGTTGTCTCCTCCATTTCACAACAGCTTAGTCACAATTTAGCTGCCATAAATATATTAATAATTAACATTGTAATTATTATTATATG